TGATGATCCAGTCAGCCTTCTTAATCGCTGCCACGCCTCACAGCTGTAGACTACTTAAGAACCAGTTTTGGGTTTTCCCTCTTGAGTCTCTCGGGTGAAAATAGCCCTGAGTCAATATTTCTGGTTATTTAAGATTTTAAAGAAGATGCATTTCCATAAAATATTTACTGTTCAAAAAAGTAGTTGGGGGTAGTCCACAGCTATCATGAGATACTGTCTTTTTGCATATATTTTTATATATAATTTTAGGAGGGCTTTGTAAATGACGGTGTGTGTACTTTTTGAAGATGCCAGTCAAAGAATCATATAATTACATGAAAACGTATAGTGAGACACACAAAATAATGATCTCTATTTTCTCCCTATTTTTTATTGATAATATTGTCTCATGGCTGCAGTCAGACATAATGAATTAAAAAAAGGAAAAGCAAATTGAAACAGTATTGGAAGAAAATAACTTAATCATACATCAGTGGTTCTGTGAATTCTGTGAATAAGTGCTTTCAAGGCAGCTGCTATTTTTGAAAGTTCATTCTAGTTGGAACCAAAAGACAAGCACAATATCTGGTTACAACATATACCTGCATGACACGCATATCACTGAGTATGATAACTGATTATAGAGGGATACAGAACCCAGTGACCAACATGATTTAAAAAAATAACATGCAAGTTCTTCAATACATTTCTTATGTAGTGTTCCAGAGCTGGTATAGGACAGAGACTATTCTGAAGCTTAAAGCAGAATGTTACATGAGTAATTTTACATAAGGAAGAAGCACTATTGGCAGGTTCCAGTCATCCAGGCTGAGCTTGGCTGGACACAGGAGAGCACAGGGCTTCAGGGATACAAACAACACTAACAGCTCATTTAGTGTACGTACTGTATGGTTCTTTTCAAATTAAAAACCATCAAGAGTAAAAACAACAGCAGGCTGATACAGAAAATATTCAGAATCACATGTGACACGTTAACCTGTTTCTTAGAAGACAGAACAATAAAAATCAGAATTCAGTCTTTCCTTGTCATTACAAAATTTTACATTGTGCAAATCAGAAATAACAAACATGATTACAGCCTGCATGGAACCCAGTTTTGGATATTGAATTAATTACTGTATTTTTTGGATTTTAGGTGGGATGCTCAAGATTTGTAAAGCTTGCTGGGCACTAAAGCTTTTTAAGACCTTTTTCACTTTGGATTGGAATTAATTGAAGAACCTTAAGATTTGCAAAAGTGGCAACACTTTCATTCGCCTAGAAAGTTAGGCTTTACAATTCTTTATGCTCAGCATACATTTTTAATTTGAAGCTTTTTGTTTTGGTTTTGTCTGTTTCAGTTTTGAAACTGTACTAACCACAGCTATCACTGGCGATTGTTTTGGGTTATACAGTAAGTCGGAATTTGACCAAACGGACAAACAGAACGAATAAGTGCCTATTTTTCAAATCTGCTGTTGAAATGATTACGAGCTGACGGCTCTTCTTGATATTGCAGTAGTTATGGGAGATAAGGACACCATGGCGAGCAGGGCTAGCTGTGTTTTTGAGGGGGTGCAGTCAATACACAATTGATCTGTACATCTTATATCTCGTCTGTTCTTCCCCTTTGTCCACCTCCAACTGCACTTGCAGAAGCCTCTCTCTCCCTGCCTTGGCTTTGCACACTGGCTTCACAGACTCCTGCAGGGTTTCCACATTATCATCTACCAATACCACTCCCATGCCAAATGTCCACAAGACATATTGTGTCTACGAAGAACGGCTGCATTCTTCCTTTTTCCTTAGGGTTGAGTTTCTGCCTCCGTTCTGCCTGAGACCTGACTGTTCCATTAGGATCCCCACGCCTTTTTCCCTTTCTACAATTAAGATCTTATTGACCTAAACAACTCCAGTGCTTTACATGAAATCCGTTGGACATCCCAGTTTTGACCTGCGGTTTACATCATCAAGACGTTCCAAGATGTAAAAATGTAAGGTAAACAGGCTTTGTCCATATGTGAAGTCAGAAACATGGCTTGAGAGGCTGACTCACAACTACGGATTGTCATAAAACTCATCAGGATACAGCGTCACCAAGACTCCCATTTAAGGTTGACCCTGTACATATGCAAAATACTTTATGTACTCTTGCATTGATTTTGCTAAAAATAACTTTGTTACACTTGACTGAACTTGAAATTTATTTATGACCTGATATGTATATATACACTGAGGGTATGACCAAAGTTTAAGCAAAGTGTGACTCCTGATTGTGTCTGTCATGTTTGCACAGCAGTGTATGATGATAGACAAGTCGGTTAAAACACAAAAAAACTGCCCAATTAAAAGGTAAAATTGCCTGTTGAAGGTATATTAAATAAGCAAAGGTAGAAAGCAGAAGCTTAACTTAGGAACACAAGAACTGGAACTTACATGCACAGTTACACCCTAGAATAACCTACAGTATCTCCAGCCTAAGTCTGCTTCAGTTTTCATTGACGAATATTGTCAGACGCTAGACTACCATTCAAGCTCTACAGAAGCCTTATTAGTACAGACCCCAGGGGACAGGACTATTCAGAATGTGCGACACCACGAGGCTGATGTTGTTTGTAGTTGAGACGTCAAAAATGTTTTGCCCTGCTTTTCCCTCATAATTTTTGCCTGCTAACCAGTTCCAGAACCACATTCCAGAGATCCTGTATGCTCTGACCGACCAGGACACCCAGTTGCACTTCTTCCCCAAGAAGTCCAGGAGTGGTTGATAAACTCCTGGATGAGTTTAGTCTATTTCTCCTGCAGCTGGTTCTCCATGTCCGTTCTGGCCTGGGCAACGAAGTTGTTGGTGCAGTCGTCCACGGCCGCCTTCATGCGCCTCTCCACCTCCTCCATCTTCTCACCCCACTCCTTCAGGAGCAGTTTGCCTGCTGCCTGGTCCTCCAGGGAGGCATGACCAATCACAGCGATGAGGCCCATGAAGAAGAGCTTCTTCAGCTGGGCGCAGAACTCCTCCACTGCTTTGCGGCTCCTCTCCTCTGTGACCAGGACGGTCTCCAGCACTGACTCCCCAGATGGGTTGTCCCCGATCACCATGTTGTACAGAGTGAGGAGGCTCAGGTCCCCTTTCGTGGCCTGAAAGTGTCTTATGAATGTCCTTTTGCTGCTCTCCTTGAACTTGGTGCTAGCGTTCACAAATTCCAGGTATATCTCGTACTGGCTGAGAATACGCGCCTCCGCCTCAAAATATTTTTTGTTAATTGAGGATTTTTCCATCTCTCGGTAGATGCTGTTAATCTCATTCTTAACAGCTTCTAATTTCTGGTTGACCTTCTCAAACAGCTCGGTCAAATACTTCACATCTTTGCTCTCTGGGTTGCTGAGAATCTCTTTGGAAAAAATTAAAACAGCCTCCAGGACGGGGTTCAGTTTTCCAGCTGTAGTGGCAAAAAAGTCATATCCTTTCCCCATGATTTCCAATTCCAACTCGATCTTCTCCTTGTTTTCCATCACCCATTCTTCCACGCACTCCATCATTGGTCCTTTTATCTTCTGGCCTTCAGGTGATCTTCACAAGTGCTGAAAGAGAAGCAGGAAATTAGTTTTTCCTCTTATAGATGTGTGAGGAAATGAAAATGTGTCATTTGTGCCCTTCTCAAGTTCAAGTTTGTCATTCCAGCCATATACAAGTATACAGTGGAACGAAATATTGTTCCTCCTCGTCCATGGTGCAAATATAGACAAGACTCTGACATAGACAATGTAGACCAGACTAATAATACTAATATTAATTCACTAGGAATGACAACACCCAAGATTAAAGCGTCATGAAAGGATTATGGAGCGAAACTTTGGCTTAAGCAGCTTGGCTAAGGGAGTATTTGTTTAGCTGGAGGAGCACTTTCATCATGACTAGCCTCTCGAAGCACTTCATGATAATTGGTGTGAGTGCCAGGTGCCGATAGTCATTGAGGCAGGACACAACTAACTTCTTTGGCACTGGTGTAATAGTGGTTTTGTAGCATACAGGACCACCTGGCACAAGGAGATATTAAAAATATCTGCACATTCCTTGAGCATGCAGCATGGTGCCTGCATCTTTAACTAGAATAAATATATACTAGAAATAACTTCTTATATATATATACTCTTCTGAAAGTACTCCCACATGTTCCCATATTCTCCATATTTAAAATTCAGAGATGAAACAAACATTCACTGAATTCTTAATCTCTTCATTTGCCTTGACTTAAATGGTCTTTAATAGACAGAAACTAAGCTAAGCAAGGCCGGGGCTGGTGCCGAAAGGCTGATACTGTAGGTGGCGCTCTTGCCTCAAACCCCAGATTCCAGCTAAACAAGTTGACAGGAGAAAGAGGTTGAATGTCCACAAAGGAAAATAAAACCAGGCTGATTTGCTAGGGCAAATTTGAATTGGTTCAGTTGCACAACATTACTTGAGCAAGTCACAGAATTGGCTGCTTGACCTCTGTTTGCTGTAATACAGGTTCACAAATTTCCTTCCGTCAGGTAGACGAGAGAATTTCAAGCAAATAGTCAACCATGATAACCAAAGAGCTTTCAAAGGAATTCGGGATAAATGTGTATTAAGGTGCATGCATTAGGAGAAGAGTATAAAAATTCCAAAGACACTTAATATCCCTAAATAGTCTAAATAGTCACATTTACCATTAAGAGGTGGAAGAGCAGATAGGCGGAAACTGGTTAGGTACTGTGTGCCCATGAGACCAACCGAGACTATGAAAGAAATTTAGACAAAATTGGACTCTAATGGTCTAAATACAAAGAGCTATGTCAACACAGCACATCCCTCAGTCAAGACCATCCTTACTGTCAAGCAAGTCACTGGTGGTGGAGGCAGCATTATGTGAGGGGTCAATAGGGCCGCTTGTTAAAATAAAGACATAGAGACGCAGCCTTTCAAAACGAGCAGGGTACACTACGGTAAAATGCGATGGGTGTGTCGCATCACAGTACGTCATATCACATCATACCTTGTAATACCGCAGTTATGATAATAGTATCTGGAATCACCACCAGGTGGAGCTAATAACTTAACCTCTCATGTACAGCGTTTGAGCTGTTGCCAGAAAACGCCTGGTTTCAAATCCCGGTCACAACTGAAGGACAATCTTTTTCCCATTAAGAATTTAAGTTGTATACTCTTTAGACTTTTAATAATTTTAAACTGTGTATTACAGCATGTTAATCATTAAACTTTAAAAAGTCGGTATGTTTTATAAAAGCAAGATTGCTGAGTTGGACAAAAGTACACAGTACAGTCTTTATGGAAGATATTACTAATTGTATAAATAATGAATGACCTTGGACAGGCTGTAAGCTCAAAGTATTACCGTGGTTCACTTTCTTTGTAACCCTCTTTGTAAATGTTTCATTGACAAAAATGAACACCATGATACACCACCGTAAACAATATTAATTTAGGAACATAAACATATTATGTAAACTGTATATTGCTGGTATTGGTAGCTTAAAGAAAAAATACACACCAGTATTCCACTTTCTTCCTAAACATTTTAAGCATCGAAGTCTTACATGTGGTTATTTTGGAAACATTTTTACTTGCTCCTTCTGACCATATTAAGTTTATATACTTTGTGAAAAGTTATAATGTTTTAACCTTTTCTGCAAATACGCCTGTTATCGTATCGTTTTTGTAAAGATTTGTGCCTGCCACATGTATCTCAAGGGTTATCACTAGTTTTACAATATTTTGCATTTAAGCAGCTGATTATGTGTTAATTTTAGATGTAGAGCATTTTGGTATGTAGGTGTTGCACATTTTTTAGTAAAACCTGGTGTTACACTGAGGCAAGACCCATGAGATTCACAAGCTCCTGCTTAACTTTATCACACAACTTATCACACAACTTTGTTTTTATTTTCTGGTACATGGCAAATTTCTGGTACATGCTGACTGTTTTGAATGAAATGTGATTTGTCCTCTTGTTTTTACAAGTTGCAAGAAGGCTGAATGGAGTCGTCTCCTAAATATTCTAGAATCAAGTTGGGATTTTAAAATGA